GTCCTAACGCGGTCTTACTCAGCGTTTGATCAGCCCTTTTTATTTTACCATCAATGAATTTGTTTAAAAAAATTATACCAACTTGTTTAAGAAACACAGTTAATAAATACAATGGAAACAACGTAACCCCAGTTTTGTGATTGTTTTTCTTTCAAAAAATCCTTTCTGTTTTTTTTTTAATCAAACAAGTATCAATCATTAAGATAATAATAAACAATAATAATTACTAGCACAATTCGATCAAACATAAAAGACGTCACGATTTTTAAAATATTTTTTTTTGAACAGACAAGGAAATTCTAAAATAAAATAAAAAGAATCGAGCTGTTTAAAGAATAGGTATACTTGTTTTACAAGAAATATCTTTAAATATGAAAACAACAGTTAAAATTCAGTTAAAAACATTACACCATAAAGAAAATGAAAATAGATATTTGAGAGGGTTCAATCGAGTACGTTCTTGGTCATTGACCAATAGAAAACCTACTCAGGGTAACAGTGGTTTTTTTTTTTCAGATTCTTTTTCTCCGGGGGGTGGGGTGTTTGGGGGGGGGGGGGGAGATAGGTAAGTGTAATTTGCGAAGAAGAGATGCCTGAAAGAAACTGCACGGTACCGAAGTGTGTAGCAGCGTTTTAGTATTTTCTTCCAATTTTTTTTAATTAAAAAAAAAAGGAAATATGATTACTTGGTGTGCAATAAACTGACATCATGCTAGACGTTTTGACATTACTTTGTAGTGGTTCAATTGATGGCGGTAAATGGGACGTCATCGTTCAACATGAGAGGGGAATCAAACGGTGGCATTTCGTCTGTGTGTATGCATTGGTATATATATATATATATATATATATATATATATATATATATATATATATATATATATATATATATATATATATATATATATATATATGTGTGTGTGTGTGTGTGTGTGTGTTGGGTCGTGATGAGGGGTGAGGTTGTATGTATATGTGTGTGTGTGTGTGCGTGCGCGCAAGGGGTGATACTGAAACTAAATAATTTTTTTTGTTGTATCCAGTAAGAGAAAAGGTAATTAAATAAACATTAAATAATCTCAGAGGCAGCGTAACGATTTAAGCGAGCCAATGAAACTCCATATAAAATGTTAAGGTGGGTGAGGTGGATAGCCTCCTTTTCAAAAGAAGATGAAACAGCCTGCAACATGTCTCCAACATACACATTTAAATGTTACTAAATAGATTCTACAGGTAAATGACCCTGTTACTTTTAAAACGCACATTTTGAATTTTTTCAAACATTCTATAACACAGCATGTTATAATACATCACAGTCTCGTACACAAAAAAAGTATTAGTTGAAGAAAGCCAATGTATCATAGTTTGCATGCATCTTTGTTTTTTAATTGAAAGGAACAAAATGTTACAAAAAATATAATCTATAGCCTTCCCTCAATCGATAGAAAAATAGTACGAGTTGTCTATCCTGTAATAAGGCGTTGCCTCCCCTTGAATTAAAAGACCATTGCGTCCCAAACGAGGAATAATGGAGTCTACTACATTCAGAACCAGGCTAGAAATTGGCCAATCAGAGACAGTTGTGGTTTTAAGATGCAATCAAAATACCACGTCCGTCTTGAAGGAGTCTTAACGTCACAAATCAGAAAGGTTCTTTTTTCTTTAGATCAAATCATAAAGTCGAGTATTTAGCTTTGTATGAGTTCATAAAAAAAGAGTATACAACAAATAGGCACGTGTTCAATCTCAATAAAAAAAAAAAGCTCATCGTAAAATAGACATTGCTTCAACCTTAAATGGACTGCACTGCACACATTGATATTACACAAGTAAAGATAATCTATATAAAGATTTGAATCTACAATCTATGGGATCACCCAGCTTACTAACAGAAGGTTTGGCTTTAGTTAATGAGAACAGCATTGTCGTGGAATTTCTTCACTTAAACCATCACCACTATCGGCACTATACGTAGTGTTTCTTCCAGACTTTTTTCTCCGGGGGTGCACTTGAAATTTTCAGGGGGGGGGGAGAAGCTGGAAGAAACTGTATAGGTAGTGATGATTTCACACTGCATATCTCATGACATGATAGCACACGAGTTTTATCACGTAAAGTCCTGTTCATAAGCCTGACACTATGATACTACAATAAGTTTATGACCAGTCTTCTTATCATATAAAACTTAGACATACAACTTTAGAAAACTCTTATTGTATGTATGTGTATTGAAAAAAAACATGGTCCTACAAAAACAACAGCAAGGTTATTAAGAACTCAGCCACGCATTCTTCTATTAAATTTACCCACACAATTAATTATTGCCTATTTTACGAATGTTAACCCAAAAGACTAGATCGAAATCCCTGAGTCCAACCAGCTATGATGGGTACCTGACTGCCGTTATGGAAACAAACGGATATAGTGCTGACCACACTACCCCCTTTGTAATGTGTAAAATGGATTATGTTTTGTAGCTAACAAACAACTAGTAGACGGTCATAGTTTGAACAACATAAAGGATGGCTTGTCAGTAGTTAAAAAACATTGATTGAAAAAGTGAAAGAAATAAAACTTGAAACAACAGCACTGAACGGACAAGTAGAACAAAAGATGTATTTTTTTATTTTATGTTATAAAACGTCAGATAAAAAGAAAAGATTCACAGGAAACAAAATCGAGTTTAAAATTAGATGAAAGGAGCTATTCACATTAAAGGAGGCTGCTTAATCCATAATTTAAAGAAAGAAACAATAAAACAGACAAGAATTGAAAGAGAATTGTGCTTCGGATTTTCAAAAGGGAGAATTCAATTTATTTAAAAATCAAAACAGAAATCTTTTTTTTAAAAATATTTTTTATGTTAATTCCGGTGATTTTAATAAATAACCGTCATAACTACCATTCCATTTATCAGCAATAGTACAAGTTTGATTAATGAAAAACGAATTTTTTTATTAATTTAACAGTACGCAGTCTTGCAAAACAGTTTCAGAATAAAATTTGTTAAGTGCCAAAAGCTAATGTTGCTAATTTAGTCATTTAAAGGGGCCGTGATAATGTTATTTTTCTCATTCCAACACAGGTCTTAAATTTTACGATCGACAAAATGTATGATTCTTCGTTTTGGCTATCTATTAGTTATGTTTTTCAATTAACATTTTTCATGGGAGACTTTTACAAAGAACGATAACTTTAGGAAGCCGTAATATAATTTAAAACATTCAGTTATCTACCTTGCATCGTAATTTAGTGCCTTCTTACCTTAAAAGAATTTTTTTTTAAAAGCATTTCTCCTAAAAAAAAAGAAACTATTATCTTTAAATATGTAGTAATGCACATTTATTTAAATAACTAAAAGGAAAGCGTGGGTCGAAATATTTTGAATTGAATGCCATTACTAACACATTTCGAAACAATTGACATGTACATACTTTACAAACAGTGTTTCTTCCAGACTTTTTTCTCCGGGGGGGGGGGGGGGGGGGCACTTGAAATCTTCGGGGGGGCGGTAAACTTTCTTCGGGGGGGGGGGCGGCGGACACTGTTAAAAGTATATATTTTCTATATAAATTATATAAATTTCATTTCGTTCGGGGGGGGGGGGGGGGGGGGCGGTAAAAAATTTTCGGGGGGGGGGGGGGCTTAGCCCCCCCGAAGAGATGCCTGGAAGAAACTCTGTTTACAAAGAACACCGCCAGACATGTTCGATGGTTATATGTGTATCATAATTAAGTTTCTGTAACTGGATCTGGCGTCTTGCGTAGTCTGAGTACCAGGGATTGTTGTTGTTGTTGTTCTTTTGCAGATGTGACGCGGCTGGTTGTGTACTTGTGGTACTATGTTAGTTCTGTGGTATCGTCTTGTGGTACTGGGCTAGTTCTGTGGTATCGTCTTGTGGTACTGGGCTAGTTCTGTGGTATCGTCTTGTGGTACTGGGCTAGTTCTGTGGTATCGTCTTGTGGCACTGGGCTAGTTCTGTGGTATCGTCTTGTGGTACTGGGCTAGTTCTGTGGTATCGTCTTGTGGCACTGGGCTAGTTCTGTGGTATCGTCTTGTGGTACTGGGCTAGTTCTGTGGTATCGTATTGTGGCACTGGGCTAGTTCTGTGGTATCGTCTTGTGGCACTGGGCTAGTTTTGTGGTATCGTCTTGTGGTTCTGGGCTAGCTCTGTAGTATCGTCTGGTGGTTCTGGAGTATCGTCTTGTGGTTCTGGAGTATCGCCTTGTATTTCTGTAGTATATTCTTGTGGTTCTGGAGTATCGTCTTGTGGTTCTGGAGTATCGTCTTGTGGTTCTGGAGTATCGTCTTGTGGTTCTGGAGTATCGTCTTGTGGTTCTGGAGTATCGTCTTTTGGTTCTGTAGTATCGTCTTGTGATTCTGGAGTATCGTCTTGTGGTACTGGGCTAGCTCTGTAGTATCGTCTGGTGGTTCTGGAGTATCGTCTTGTGGTTCTGGAGTATCGTCTTGTGGTACTGGGCTAGCTCTGTAGTATCGTCTGGTGGTTCTGTAGTATATTCTTGTGGTTCTGGAGTATCGTCTTGTGGTTCTGGGCTAGCTCTGTAGTATCGTCTGGTGGTTCTGGAGTATCGTCTTGTGGTTCTGGAATATCGTCTTGTGGTTCTGGAGTATCGTCTTGTATTTCTGTAGTATATTCTTGTGGTTCTGGAGTATCGTCTTATGGTTCTGGAGTATCGTCTTGTAAATCTGGGGTATCGTCTTGTGGCTAGTACTTATATATGAAATCTGGTCAACATTACTGTAATGCTACTCAAGTTATCATGTTCGCAGACAGACACACTTGCAAAACTAAGTTTTTTGACGGAGGGGGTGTAAAACGTCGAAATCTCGATTTGGATTTTTTGCTCGATAACATCACTTTCTCTACACTACCTAGACTATACGAGAAAGCAAAAAGTAAACTTTACACATCGCTATTCAATTTATTTACTGCACCAAACAGCACATCTTATACGGAAGTCATTTCTGACTTTCTAGCGCCATTTTCACCAAACAAAAAACCAAAATGGGCGAAACACCGCCGATCTCGCTCCGTACACTGGCATGGTACAACATCTAGCAGTTTCACGGTCCCAAATTTACAACACAAATAAGAAAAACAGAAACAACTAAAAATGGACTCTGCGTTTTTAGGGGACAGCTTTCAAATGGGTCAGCTGGTGGTAGATGATGTACAGAGAGCCTCGCAGTCAGAAGAGTCGGGAGATGAAGAGGCGATCAGGCCGATGTTTATAGAAGGAGAGGAGAGAAAGGACGATGAACTCTTGGGTTAGTAGATCTATGTGTTTAAAAAAAAATTGTGTTTAAAAAAATGTGTTTAAAAAATAGTTGTGTTTAAATTATTTAAAAAAAAATTAGCATTTATATATTTATCGTACATGGATATATCAATATGTGGCCCTTCTTTTACTTAATAGATAATAATAACTAACTGTTTATCAATATGCTTAATTACGTCATTGCTATTCTAATTAAAAGAGATCGACCACTATTTAAGCCGAATTTTATATCTTGATACCGCCCCCACCAGCTATTGTCACCAGAGACCCCCCCCCCCCTCATCAAACGGTTAGAATTATAGCGTGCAGGTTTATTAGTGTCTTATTTGGAAATAATAATATTCCGTACTCCTACTTTTAATTTAAATACGCTAAAGGTAAACGATCTATAAACATGTACGCCATCATTCTACTCACAGCTACCCCACTTTTAATAGACCACAACCAACCATTATGATATAACGTTTATAAAAAAATATATTTATTATGAATAAATCATATAATCATCATCTTTTCCCGTTCATGCACAAGACACATGAGCTGGTGAAGTAGAGTTCATCTGCTTCAGAGACCTCGGCATATGAAGGGATAGTGTGGTTAGCACTATGCCCAGCTGCATTCTCACTGGTGGACTCAAGAGCATTCTACAGATTTGAACCCGGATTCGATCTTAGGGACTTTCGGGTTAACAGCCTAGCTCTCTACGAAAGGCCACGTCGTAAATCATACAGAAAATCATATTTGGAAAAAAAAATCTTTAATTATTGCAAAGACCATTTTTTTTTATAAAACCCTCAAACTCAAACATAATGATCACAAAAAGTCTGACTTACTCCATCACTTTGGTCCAATCAAAATGACGTGAAACAGATCGTAAAATATTTATTATTAGATAAATATTCTGTTTTCTTTTACTTAGTTTTCCATGCTTTTCTGTACAAATAAAAAAAATAAAAATATTAACACTTTTAACCCGCAGGTCAGGCCGAACAGGAAGAATCCAGCAGACAAGAACTGTTGTTCCAGAACTCGACCCACCCCGTCAGCGCGGAAGACACGGAACCAGAGGGCCTACTGACCCAGTCCAACTCCGATACCTACACCGACAGCTACCGTACCGAGAGCCAATCGGGTGACCTGATCCCTTTCGCCTCCATCTTGGGCAACTACTGGCTCCAAGGCTGGATCACGTACCTGGCCTACCTCGGGGTGTACATCACCTTCCTGTCATGCATCTACTTAGCTCTAGTATACGTCAGCCTGGAACTGCTTTATATTTTTACAAACCGTGGATAAAGATATCTTTAAGGAGTGTACTGTTGACGTTTCAGAACATGCGAGGGGAGGCTACCAAGTTAAATTGATACTGCGCATCGTTTGAGTAGATTTAGCTCCCCTAATAAAAAAAACAACATGAACGGATTAATATTTTTTTTCTTTTCATGTAATATGTAATTATGTATAATTATAGTATCTTAGGGAAGGATGTCTTTCTCGATATGGACACCCAAAATGACAATTGTTGCTTGTTATACATAGCTCTTGGCGATGGCCTGTTGAAGTAACTTCCAGTTGTTTCCACATTGTGAGCATAATAATTAAATTTTGAGGAAAGGTGTAAATATATTAATTATACAGACAATTTAATAACCCCCCCCCCCCCCCCTCTCACTTTAATAAAATTCCGCCTGTATCACTAAAAAAACAACACTTGCTTTAAAGTCAATAGTAAGTCCACAACATTTTTTCCTAATAAAATTGTACTGTGTTCATATCAGTTCAAGTCAGTAGTAACTCCACCCAGCTCTGATGGGTACCTGCCTCGTTAAGGAAAGTAAAAACTCAGTTCACAGTGTTGACCACACTATCCCTTTTCATAGTATGGATTATTCTTGTGAAATGATAAATGTAATTTGCTGAAAAAATTCACTGAATGCTTTTTGGACCCTAAATCTAGTAAATGAGGTCTTACATTTTATTTAACCAAATAGATAATTTTTTAAACAATTTTCATTTTTCAATTGCTTGATATGGGGCTTAAGATTACAAAATGAGTAAATCAACAGTAAGCTCAGTAATAAATAACCTAATAATTTATACATGGTTTCTCATGTAAGATTACAGAATTCAAGGAAACTTTGCTATCAAAACTGTAATATAGCAGGAACATTATCCTTGAAAGGAGATATTGCAATAAAATTATTGTAAGGCAGATCTATCAAATTAGGTTTTGATAATATATGGCAATTTAAGTAAGCTTCAGAAAATATTATTATGGAGGAAAAGGATTCTCTAACAAAATGAAAGGTTAAATTTGGGTTTAACGGTTAAAAATTCTTCAAATATTGAAAAAACAAAATTAACACAGAAATACAAGTACCAATAAAGGGAAGCAACAACATGTGATAAATCTGTGAATCAATTTTAATCAGCACACTACATATTTTACATACCATACAAATATAATACAACTAATATTTGTAACAGTGTAATAGTAGCCAAAGTAAACAATGGTGAGGGCGGATGTCAACACTAAGACACTAGGGTGTTTCATTGTGGTGCAGACATATCTAAACATACAATATATCAGCTGCGGTAAAAAGTTTGGTAAATTTTAAAAATATCTGTGTTGACAGCTAAGGTCGTTTTATTTTTTAAATAAGGGATTTTAAGTATAGCATACAATAAATAAATAAATAGCGTGCTATTTTTACAGTTGTAATAATAAATTATAGCTAGCCTAACACTGAGTACATTAAAATGTTCTCTTTGTTAAATGTAAAAAAACAACAACATAATGCACGATCACCTCTACAAATAAATAATTTTGATTATATACAATTCAGGAGGTGGGGGGTGTTGTTGAGTTGTATAGTGCTCAATTACTTTCCCAAGGCCTAGAGTTCAAATCCTGATTTCAAGCTCAGAATGTTTCTCACTTAGAGGGTAGTAACAAAAAAAAAAAAGGAGTAAATGCGCATGAACTGTACTGACACACTGCCCTCATACATAAAGGAGTTATTTGATTTGTTCATTTTCCCTTTTGAGACCTGGTCAGAAAGGGAAATTTACTTTTTTTTTTAAATAAAATTTACAAGATATATACAAATGTTTCTGTGTGTGAGTAAAATACATTTAAGTAACAGGATCTATGTTGTTAGATCAACACTAGCAGAGACCCCGTCCAGCTCGGGGTGGGGCAGGAAACAGTTGCACCCCCCGTGGTCCGGGACAACACGATCGTAATGGTTACCGTTGGTGTTGCACAGGGTCAGGTAGCAGCAGGGCTGGGTTATGGACGACGGGCAGCTCTGCTGGAAGACAGGCCGGAACAAGAGCCATGTGTACTTGTCATTGCGGTGGTTGGGCGTGTACATATAGATCTCCCTCTGGAGGAGGGTGGCGGCGGCGTAGATCTCACAAGTTGTGGCCCAGCAGTGGTCCTCTGACATTCTGTCCACGTGCTCCTGGTGACAGAAAAATTTTAAATTTGTGGTTACGGTTTCAATTATGATTATATCACACAGCTTGTACTAAAATACGTTTTTCTAGGGTGAAAAAGACAATGAACTGTGAAAACTTTTTGCCTCTTCTGCACTCAACAACTGTTTTCCTTATTGACACAAGACTATAAAAAAAAATTGTTTTTTTGCTTCTAGTTTCGTTTATCTCATGACATTGAATGTAAAAATCCTACGTGATTTACATTAGGCAGAGAGAAAATTAGGGAGATTTATAATAAAAGTTAACTGAATCCCATTAAAAGGATATAATGTGTTACAAGACAAAAGTTGATTCAATCCAAATGATGGCAAATGAGCATAAGGTTGATAATAAAATAAAAGACAAGTATTTACAACCAGTGACCTATGACCAGAAAATCTAACTCAAATGTTAAATCTTTCCTGAACTGTTAAGTACAAAGTAAGTGTGGCAAATATGTAGGCTAAGTAGATGGAGTGCAGGAGTGAGGCACTTGAAAAACATCTTGTAAACAAATGAGTCACCTATCACAACCAGCTGCTGATAAGATTTTTAAAGACAGCCAGAACTATTCTCCTACTGTACCAGCCTACTTTATATTACTAAACAAATTCTTAAATAAAGTAGTCTTGATGGGTCTCATTAATGATGATATTTGTAGAGGGGGAGGGGTGTTGGAGAAATTGACTTGTTTAAATATATGAAGACTGATCGGGGCGGGGGGGTTTGGGTCCATGTGCATGCGGATGAGGGGGTGAGGTCTGAAATTTCAATTTTTTTTTTTGTGGAAAACATAAAAAGGGGTAATACAAGTGAAGATTAACACAAAAATGTGAAATCATTAACTAACAGTGTAAAGAGCATTTCTTTTTTTAAGCTTAATTTCTATAAACGTTATCTATCTTGGCTAGATCAGACAAAATAACTTTCAATCAATAGAGGGATGTTGGATAACAAACTACTTAGACTTTATGGTTACACTTGACATTAGGAGGATCAGCTATTAAGCAGCTATGAACAGTGCAACAGTAACTTATCCCAATATGTATCTAGTTTTCATTGCAAGTTAGAAAAATCCACTCAACAAACACTAAATTAAAAAAAAAAAAAAAAAAAAACTTACTTGCACATCTTCTCCATCAACAAACTGAGCAAACTTGGACTTGTTGGTAGCAATGAGATCCACGACCAGATTCCTCACTGCCTTGTGGTACTCATCAGTCTTGTACAGCTGTTTGCTGAGGGCCCTAAAGAAACAGTTCCCATCTCCTCTAACATAGTCAATCTGGCGACTCTCTTTAGCCAGTGCAGGCTTTAACACACTGTAGATGGGGTAACTCGGTGTCGGGCTGACCTGCGGATCCTCAACGTCACACAGCAGATCTACATCTTTATCCAGGGATCTGTGTATACCATTGAAACTTGGGTCTCTCGTTAAGTCATCGCTCACAAAATCTATATCGTCTTCTATAAACACATCCCCGTGAAAATTATTATTACTACAGTTTTTATGTTTGGCTGATGTGGGCGGAGACTTCTGTTGACTAATTATCCTGTTTGCATTTTTAGGTGACGACATAGGCGATGACTCTGCATCATTTTCCACATCAATAACACTGTTCGAAAAACTTGATTTGTTTTGTAAAGAGGAGATTGCTGTTTTTGATCTGCTTGGAGAGCTCTGGCTAGACAGTACTTTAGTTATAATTGGCTCATTATTCTCCTCATCATCCAAAACAATAGGTGAATCAATATTCACATTGTCTTTCCGTGACCTATTCTGGTTTGGTACTTGTTGTGTGTTGCTAGGTTCGTAGTCTAGTTTAATAGGAATGATCCTGACATTTGGTGACGTATCATGGTCGTTTAGACCAATGGGGTGCCATCTTGAAGGTCTAGCAGGGCGGATACTATCATACATGAAGATGTCAGGGTCAAGCAAACTGGGAAACTGGTTGAAGTGAAGCATATCTGTGAAAAGGGGAAAAAAGATCATTAATATTCATGAAAACTAAGTCTTTAAAAAGTTGACTAAATGAAATCCATAAAAAAATTGGTCTAATGAATACTTCTAAAACTGTGGGTCAGTGATAGATCTATTTATATTGTTAATAGAGTCTAGTTACAAGGGGACACTAGAATTAGTTCCTTCTTTTAGTATGTTACTACTGTTTCTTAAAGTCTCAATCTAAAAAGTGAAAATTGACCAATATTGTAATAATGATAATATTGATAAATGAGACTTCATTGTATGCCCCCCCCCCCCCTCGTCTAATGATTACTCAAGTAAAATCTAAAGAATGGGCATACTGAAGAGATGATTAATAACGGAAATAATAGATCTAAATTTAAATTATTACTAACTTAACTATTAACTAATAATACTAGACTAGATCTACTATTACTACTATTATCTACTATTACTTAAGTAACTTTAATAACTAAGGTTAATATTATATAGGCTAATAGTTTAACTTTAAACTAGCTTTATTTACTACTGAAGTAAAAAAGGTTTAGGTTAACAGTTGTTAACTAAAGATTAGATGATTAGAAACTTAAAAAGTGGCTTAGGCCCCTACCTCTTCTAAATAATGATTTCATGCTCAGCCAAGATGAAGATAGAGGTGGTTGTTTATTAACGGGGCCTAAAAGTATCCAAGGCCTTTGTTGTTTCCTTATGCCTCCTGTTGTGCTTGGGCTTCTTTGTTGTTTAGGTTTAGCGTAGCCTTTGAAAGTTGGAAAATGAAAATAAGACCGAGGACGTGGTGGTGGATTTCTCCCAAACGGAAAATCTAACATACCGTACAGATTCCCAATCTTAAACTGACGTCTTTACTTTATATGACACAGTTTTGAGAGATGGTGTATGATTCACTTCTAATACAAACAAGAAATCACTGGCGACACGTAAATGACACACAGTTTATTTTAAGAAAATAACTAGGCCTACATGATTCTGTATTTAGGTGGACGGAACTGCATTATAAATGCCTTCCGACTTTTCACGAAATTTCTAGTGTCATCACGCAGAATCTGGATTTGTTTACACTTTGGTGCGTTTTGATTGGTTAATAATGTGGGTCATTCTGTTTTTAGCAAATGATGTAAAGTGGTTGTATTTTTTTTATGACTAACATTCTTTTTAAAAAAAAATAAACTAAACTGCTTTGGAATCTAAATATATTTAAAAAACAATCTAGATAATCTAAATCAAATGTTCACCCCCCCCCCCCACGTCCACTTTTGACAAAGTAGTTCCGACAGGCTGATTGCTCCACATTATTTTGCAAATCGCGCTTTGTTTATTTTAATATTTATCTTAGATATGTTAATAATAAGTAATATATACTATGTTCATGATATATATGTAAATTTACAATGTAATGTATAGTTCTATTAAAAATTAGTATTTTAAATTATAGGTCTTCAAAAAAAAGGGGGGGGGGTGGGGTGGTGGGTGGAAGGGTAGGTCTGGGAGTCAACACTGCGGGATAACTTGTGACGATGAGTAATTAAATATATAGGTAAAAGGGGAGCGACTCATGACACCACAATCAAATACGCATTTTAACTAATGTCATTTCAAATATTCTCACGTGTGCCATAATGGAGACTTAGTTGAATTGCGACCGGTGTGAAGGGGGGGGGGGAGGGGGGAAGAGGGGGCACTTGATAAAGTATATCAGGAGGTGCAGTGGCGTCGCGAGGTCGGGTGTCACCCGGTGCGGCACTTAATGGTGTCACTCCCCAGAGGCGTAGCTACACATCCCGGGGACAAACTTTCAATTTTCGATTTGCACCCCCGTCAAACTTTCGATTTACATCCCCCCCCTCAAACTTTCTATTTGCACCCCCCCCCCCCATCAAATTTTCGATTTGCACCCCCTCACTCAAACTTTCGATTTGCACCTCTTAAAACACTATTTCTCATGTTTCTCTATATATTTTTCTATTTTTTGCCTTGGTGTCACTCCCCCTAAATGGTGTCACCCGGTGCGATCAGCACCCCCCCCCCCTCGCTACGCCTCTGAGGAGGTGGTTGAAAAAAATTCTGACAATCACTTGGCCTACCCCCATAATTTAACAATTACTTTTATTTTTTAGGCCCCCCATATATACATATAGACACATATATATATATATATATATATATATATATATATATATATATATATATATATATATATATATATATATATATATATATATATATATATATAGCCCCCCCTACATACAAACATAATATACATGTGTGTATGCATTTCTGATAAACCATATCCCTACATTGAAATATCTCACGAGATAAGCGTGCATTACATTATATTCTTTACCAACCACAGGGACACAATATTTAATCATAAAGAAATCCATTTGGTTTTTTTCTTTGGCCTAAACATCTCTTACTTTATTTTTTCTTTTCTGTCGAAAAAAAAAAATGAAAGCAGCAAGTTTTCTTTTGACTGAGCATTGAAAAATAGGTGTTTTTTAATATTACAGTACCGCATGCGAATTTTGTTTAATCCCATAGCTGTTGTTAAAATTATTATAGGCCTACAGCGCCTAATAAACTCAAGCAGACGATAAAGATGGGCTGGCCGCGGAATATGATTTTCCCAAATCCATACGATTTCTCCACATCCACACGATTTCTCCACATCCACATGATTTCTCCACATCTACATGATTTCTCCACATCCACAGGATTTCTCTCCTGCTTGAAAGAGCAATTTGGACGTCACAAATCTCTTCACGGGCCCTGTGATTGGTCGTATTGACAAGTCATTGACACGAGATTGACAAGAGATTCTTCACATATGTCATGGACAAAACTGTGAAAATTGACACGTCGTCTTTGAAGACTCCCCCCCCCCCTCTATCTCCCTCCCCTTACTATTATATTTTTTAAAGATGTTCTGAACATTAATAGTTTTGAGTATATTAAAACGTTTCTTCTAGATTCTAAGTAGCTGAACCTAAATATTTATATTTTTTTTTGGGTTAAATTATTTTTTTTTTTTTGGATCATGCAAAAACCATATTTGCCGTTTTGTTGCTGTTTGTTGAGAGTATGTATAATTGTTTTTTTTTTAATTGGCGAATTTGTTCGTACATTTTCCGTTGTCAGGGTGATACTTTTTAAGATTTCACCTAGACAAGTTTACAAAATATTAGAGTGGGTGATGTATGGACTCAAACAACATATACAACATTGTACTAGCGATGAGGTTTCAGTTCTATTATCTCAGATAAGCCTGACTAACAACGTGATAGTGTGTGATAATGGGATGTGGGTTGTCCAGAAAATGGGTCTGAGAATTTCTTTTCAATTCCTTTTGATGGCGTAGTCCAATGATAGAGCGTCTGTGTGCTTCAAGTTCTAGTCTAAAGTTAGTAGCACGTCCTTGAGTTCACCCAGCTCTGTTGGGTACCTGACTCGCGTTTAGGAAAGTAAAGGCAGCTGGACATAGTGCTGACTACACTCTCCCTTAAAATGCCGAGGTAACAGAAACAGGTGAACTCTGCTTCACCTGCCCCATTGTCCGAAAAGGAACTTATTTTTACTATAACTATATGGGAATTAACGTGAGAAGTATTTAGAATCACAATCTGGCTTTAAAAAATGTAATGTCATTAACGAACGACTCCCATGTTCATAGATAACATTTTTTGTTTACTTTAGCAAGTCTACACATCTTATGAACACTATCTAATCGTCAGCGATTGAGGCAGTTGCTGTGGCAACTATGTGTAGTCTATATAGTGGATGGCTTGATTTCCTTTCAGACCTCGCGACATTGAACACATCCGAGCTAGAGGGACCTAGACACATCACAATTTCTACAGCTGTATGTAGAGGTGTTGTGTACATGTTACATAACACGCGATGCAGTGCTGTGGCGTATCATTTTGATACGACTGTGTTATACGGGGCAGAGGTGGTTGTGTTATAGGGGTTAAGGGTTGTGTGATACGGGGTAGGAGTGGTCATATTATACGGGGTAGAGATGGTTGTGTTATATGGGTTAAGGGTTGTGTGATACGGGGTAGAGGTGGCCATGTTATACGGGGTAGAGATGGTTGTATTATATGGGTTAGAGGTGTTCTTGTTAAACGTAGTACACACATTATATAACTTTGATTTGACCAGCTATATTCTCCATTTCACAACATGACTGCTTTTGTGAATAACTGAATTGATGAGCTGACATTCATGGCTTAAATATTTCTTCCTCTTAACTCAGCTTGAGACAATGCAGCTTAAGATGCACAGCAGTAATCGATTGATTTCTAAACCCGTGTGTTTCCTATGACGGTTTTTAAATATACCAACACTTTTGAAGTAATACATCGTGTCGTGGTTTACAGGTGCGTGTGTGTGGGGGGGGGGGGGGGTGGAGTACTTGCAGTTGATATAAATTGAGGGGTGGTAAATTATGGAAATGTTATACGTTTTAAGAGGCAACAAAAGATGGGTCAAAATATGGATTTTTCTAAGTGTTGAATGAATCTCTGTCTTAGCCTGTCTATCTGTAGGTAATGAAAACATAAGTCCACAAGGTGTAGGAAATAAATAATTCATATTTAGTTAATATATTTGTCATATCCCGGCATATGCAGAAATAGAGTGGTCAGCAGTATGCCCCCAGCGTCCTGTACTTCCTCTGCAGAGGCGTAGTTAGGGGAGGGGGTGGAGTGGCCGCCCTAGGCCTTGAAACTATGGGGTGGGGGGGGGGCGCCGAACGAATAGGAATATACAACTGGGCGGGGGGGGGGGGGGGGGCTATTTGACAATGTGAATAAATATATAAATGGGTTGCGCAAAGTATATACTTCGCCCCGGGCGCCGGAACAGTTCGCGACGTCTCTGTTCCCCTGTCTAGTTACCCATAGTGGACACTGGAACAAACTCTGGACTCAGGAACCAACCTGCTGTGTAACTAGCAGGTGTGTGATCTACCACTCGACCACGCCGCTTCCATTATCGCCACACATCCAACACATACAGCCGGTGTGTACCAGCTACACACCTGTGTCGTGTGTGTGATTCTGCAGGCGTTAACGACCCATTATCGCCACACATCCAACACACACAGCCAGTGTGTAGCCTACCAGCTACACACCTGTGTCGTGTGTGTGATTCTGCAGGCGTTAACGACCCATTATCTCTGAGCGTATCTGCCGTGTTAGATAAGCGAGGCTGTCGTATGTATTGTTCACCAACTTTACATCAGCGGCGTTGTATTCCACACACAGTTTTAAACACGTAGATCAGAGCAGTGTTTCTTTCAGGCAGCTCTCCGGTCTGAAACAAGCTCACCCCCCCCCCCCCCGATGGAATAGGAAAGTTATTAAATGTGCATAGAAAATGTATACGTTATCCCTTTACTTAACCTCCGCCTACTCGGAATATCAAGTGTTTTCCCCCTCCCCCGAGAGAATGTCTGAATGAAATGCTGGATCGAATTTATCGAAGAATCTTTAATAAGAGAAGTTATGTTGTTAAAATAGAGGTGGGAGCACATGCTGATAAGATTTTAGTGCTTCAAATATTATCTATACATTGTGTAGATGGTAGGGGGTATATAAAGACAATATGCTAGAAATACCCGTGTGTTAAAATAACAAACAAAGTAAGTTGGGTGTAGATAATTGATACAATTTACAAAAAAAGTTACTTCTTAAACTTATATAAAGAGTTTACAATAAGAATAAAAATTATCAATCAACTTGCATTTATTTCAACTCTAACATATACATAACTAAACAAACAGGCTAGTAAAAAAACACAGAGAGGTGGAGAGAGGATAGAAGAGAGAGAGAGGGAGAGAGTACGGAGAGTGTCAATACTAGTGCTGTTAATTTTTCAAACACCCAAACGTAGTTTTTCAAAGTAATAAAAATCTCAACGCTATTTCAATTTTTATATCCTTGAAATTTTTTTTTCTATTTTATAAATATTGCACTTAAATGTTTATTAGCCTACTACTAGAATCTTAATATTTCAAACATTAAATGAA